TATATTTCTTTATGCGAATTGGAAACACAAACTATCTATTTTAGTTGAGCTATACTTGCCTAAATTTCTTATACATATGTTCAATTTGTTTTTATGTAGCGGCAGGTAAATTTGAATGAGAACCAATCAAAAGTAAGGATTTTCTGTTTGTGAATTCAATGCATGGCAATCGAAGTCCTGTGTGCACACATACATACCCACTCAAGGAACCCAGCAGCGCCTGCGACTAATTCTGAACTAGTGAATTCACTAGTTCCCAGGTGTATAGTACGTGTCGCTTCATAATCTACTTTATGTGCGCTCAACTAGTGAATTTTACATTGAATTGTCATTGCCGGTGTCAATTGTCCCCATACGAAACACCTCGGAACTAGTCTGTTCACTAGTTCATAAGGGTCAATTGTCCCCTTATCATACACTGCTGCGGCACTAGTCTCTGCACTAGGTCTTGCTTTGGAACAAAATAAATAAAACTAGCATTTTATATATTATTATGTATTTATTAATTTTAATATATTTAATATATATATATACATATATTTTTTTAGATATTAATGTAACAATTGATAGAAAATAGAAATAGTAAATTAATTAATAATATAATAGAAACATAGTACATAATAATTTAATAGAAATTAATAGTAATAGGAAATGATAATTTAATATAATTAAAAATAAATAATTCAGTAATTCAACTATATAAATAATTTAATAATTTCATAACTTATAATAATACATTTGAAAAGTTTAAAAGTTAAAGTAATAATAACAATGCTAAAAGTAAAAAGTAAAAAATAAAGTAAAATGATATAAATAAAAATATATTCATTTTAATAATATTAATATTAAAAGTTTAAGTAATATAAAGTGTTATATTTGAGGATTACTAAGGGGATTGCGCTGTAGTATTGAAGCTGCTTTAAAGTGCCTTTTCTTTTGAAGCTGTATGGCCTTTCTTAGCTGGTCTTCACAACTAGCCGATCCTGTACTGTTTGGTATAGCAAATGATAATTTAGCCATATAATTAGATATTTTTCTAATTGAACTTAAAAGCACAGAATATAAATTATCATAATCCTTAAGTTGTTTTTTCCCGTGGGTGCCATCCACATTGTACTCTAGAACGACCGATTCATCCAATATATTTTTCAAATTCTTCTCTACAGAAGAATTCAATAATATAGAAATTGTTGACACCTGTTTATCTAAATAAATATTTAGTGTGTTTAATAATGAAGTACTCGTATGTAGTACAAACAAACAAAATAACACTCGCATATTGATCCCTTACTTCAACACTTCACTGCTACCCGTTATTTCAGAATGCACAAAATTAGATTAGGTTCTAATTTTACTACTTCCTAAAGAGCAAATGTTGTTGCATGTTTTTACATTTTAGCGCATTATTGCGAAGAAGGCATAATATTAAAACGTATTGCTCTCAATTTGTGTGTACACAACAAGCACAAGCAGTGGATTTTCGTTTCAACTGGTGAATCGATGCATTACCAGGGGTCAGAATACGCACTAGTTTCAAAAGAAATAACTCTAATATGTGATTGAATTTCTTTGTTTCTCATTTGTTTTGGTTTTCTCTTGTTCAAAAATAATAGAATGCAATATCAAATTTTGTTCAAAAAAAGTATTGAGAAATTTATATGTTGTAAGTGGCGATTTAACTCATCCCCACGTACCAGTCATTTCACTAGTTCGTTTGGACTACTTCGTGTACTAGTGCCTAGTGACAATTGTCTCCTAAGAAACTGCTGAGAAGTGATTTACCACAAAACGGTATGTTTTCGTCTTGCTCTGCATACTTTATACGCATTGCTTCTATTTTGCATTTATTATGTTATGTGCCTCGCACTTATCCGTAATGATTGTCGATAAGAATGGTGAAAAGTATAATTTTAGTTACAATTCCTATAGAAATAACTTCTATGTAAACAGTTTTGAACATTTTCTGGGTCTTTCTTTTGGTTTTCCATTAGTGATAATTGTATATCTAACTTTTTTAATTTATTATAATAATAATATGTTACTAAATTACGTAAGAAAATTATTTTTAATAACATTTCTTTTAGTAAACTTTAATCAGTTCATAAATTTGTGGCATATTTGATGAAAGTATAAAAAAAATGTTTATGAATACAGATTTAATATAATAGTAATTAAAATTTTTAATTACATGTCAAATATGTTAAAAGTCTCCACTTTTGTTTAATAAATCTGGCACCCTTTGTTTTAAAATTTCTACAACGAATGGCAGAATATTTGCTCCACAAAATTCGCGAAATCTAAGTCGTGTTTGGTTCGGCAAGTTAGGTGGTTGTGTTTTTATTGTCAATGCCGATGTGGGGTTTAATTATTTTTTAAACAAAGTGAAGTCTGTTTTGAAAGATAAATCTGATTACATATATTTGTTGGAAATAAATATTACTAAAAATGAGTAATAAACAAGTAAATATAAATATGTTTTGAACTGAATAAATGATTTTCTATTTAAATTAAAAATAACTAAATATATGCTTCGTATTTCTTTACCTAAATTGAAAACACATACACTATCATATTTTATATAAGTTGTACTTGATTTAATTTCCAGTTCATTAGTTATTAATTTTTTTATTTTTCTCTATTAACCATTAATTTTGAATGGGAACCAATCAGAAATTAGAATTTACTGTATGGAAATTTAATGCGTAGTACCCAAATGGCTGCTTGCACACATACACACTCAAATTCATGACGCCTCACAAAACGGTATATTTTTGTCTTGCTTTACATACTCTATATGCATTGCTTCTACCTTGAATTTATTGTGTTATATGCCTCACACTTATCCGTAATTATAGTAAAATTTTTCAACATCAATTCCAAATAAATTAAATGTTTTCAGTGTGTTTGATTTTATATATGTATATTTTTAAATTAATATTTATTTTTAACAATATGTGCATGTTTTATGGGAAATGAATATATTTAAATAAGTATAAGTATATTAAAATTGTAAATGCTGCCTCCTCTCCAATATTTTCTTTATTTTTTTTATATATACAGTTTGTCAAGAAAGTGTTTTGACAAAGCAAAAAATTTGTATTTTTTGTTTTTATTTCCGAAAATATTAATTATTATTTTTTATTTCCATCTTTTTTTTACACATTATGCTTACGCAACATATTTAATCTTAAAATAAGACAAAAAACTTATTCGTTTAATGTTACAACAACAATAAAAATAACGAAAATAAAAAAAACTTAAAAATACTAGTGTCAAGAAAGTGTTTTTACATTATTTATTTCTTCCTAATTCGAACTAAGAAATGCATTTACCGTTATTCAAATGATGCTGACGTATGTTTAATGCATTTGTTTGTTCAAATAGCAATTAAAAATAGTAATTAAGTTGCGTTTAATCTTCGTGGGTGGTAGGTAAAGTGTGCTTATTGAAATTATTAAGATGCCAGGTAAAAGAGTTTCGTTTAATATAGTACAGTTGGTGTATTACAACTATTATGATGGAAAAACCATCAGTGAGCTATCCGAAATGTTTTGTTTAAGTCGACAAACCATTTATAATATCATAAAACGTACAGAAGATGAAGGAAGATTGCAACCAAATGAAGTAACTGGCCGTCCTCGAAAGTTATCAGATCGAAATATTCGATCTTTATAAAGAAAAGTAGATGAAAATCCACGAATTTCGATCAGAACCCTTGCGCATGAACTTAAGGAAGAAAGTGGTGTTACTGTTTCTCATGAAACAATGCGGCTAGTTCTGAAAAAAAATGATTATACATCAAGAGTTGCACGTAAAAAACCACTGCTATCGACAGAAAATATTAAAAAACGCTTGTCTTTCTCAATATTGCATATAAGTAAGCCAAATGATTATTGGGATGACGTCATATTTTGTGACGAAACTAAAATGATGCTATATTATAATGATGGACCTAGTAGAGTATGGAGAAAGCCATTAAAAGCGCTGGAAAACAGAAATATAGTTTCTACTGTAAAATTTGGCAAACTTTCAATTATGATTTGGGGATGTATTTCCACCAAGGGCGTTGGAGATCTTGTATTTATTGAAAATACAATGGATGCAAAAGGATATTTAAATATATTGCGCAATCATTTAATCATCAGCGCAAATAAATTTGGCTTCATTCAAGGCAATAAGCCAAAGTTTAAATTTTATCAAGACAATGATCCCAAACATAAGGCGCATATGCTGAAGATGTGGCTACTATTTAACTGCAACAAAGTCATCGATACGTCTGCTCAGAGCCCAGATCTAAACCCCATTGAAAATTTGTGGGCTTATTTAAAAAAAAAAGTAGCTAAACTACACCCAAAAACTCTATCACAGCTAAAGGCAGCTATTTTACAGGAGTGGTCTAAAATACCCATTAATTATGATGTGCCCAAGCTGATGAATTCAATGAATAGAAGACTGCAAGCCGTAATAAACTCAAAAGAAGGTCCAACAAAATATTAATTCATATAAATATACTTATTTAATATCACTGTAAAGTGAAAGCAACCGTTTATTTCATTTGTAAAAGCACTTTCTTGACACTAGTATTTTTAAGTTTTTTTTATTTTCGTTATTTTTATTGTTGTTGTAACATTAAATGAATAAGTTTTTTGTATTATTTTAAGATTAAATATGTTGCGTAAGCATAATGTGTAAAAAAAAGATCGAAATAAAAAATAATAACTAATATTTTCGGAAATAAAAACAAAAAATACAAATTTTTTGCTTTGTCAAAACACTTTCTTGACAAACTGTATATTGACATTCTGTGCAAGTTTCAAGAAAAAGAAAAGAAAAGAAAGCAATAAAACAACGAAGCAAATAAATGAGCGATTGAAATAATTGTCTTACAGAGAAAAATGTGAGTTAAATACCCACTCAAATATTTTTTCAAAACTTTATTTAATTTATTCTTATAATAAAATTAATATGATATTTTTCTATTTAAATTATTTCAGTTAAAATATGTTTAGAATTTCCCAAATCTGATATAGTAAAAAAATGTTTGAAATCGGCGCTTAAGATGCTTGAACATAATTACATGTATTGCCACTGGATTACAACATATACTATACATTATGTGGGTCAAACAATCTCACAGATTCTCATCACCACGCAATCGATTCCAGTAGTACACAATCCAAATTAATTTCTGTGACCAGAGATTGAACGGGTAAATAGTACTTTTTTATAAAATAATTTTAAATATAGTATTTAATTCCAATTTCATTCTTAGACCTTAAGCGAAAATTTTTATTGTTGTTAATAATGGCTTTAGACGTAATATATAAAGATAAAAGTGTTACCTTCTATAGCACATCTTCACTATGTTGATTTACATCCATAAATAACAAAAACTATTTATTTTCATCACTGATTTCTTCGTCACTACACAAATCGTGGTTAATTAATTAATCACCAATGGAGGCTGTTTAATTAGTCAGATGAAATGAACAAATCCGGTGATGAATGCGAGATACTTACATTAAGTTCCAGAGGAGCTAATACTAAAAAATTTTTGCGATTTGGTCTGGTCAAAGGTACGTTAAAAATATAATATATCATATATAATTGTAACTGCCATTGCCGTCGTTATAAATTATTCATTAAATGCTTAAGTAAATAATAGGTCATGGTGCGAGAACCTAAGTATTCATATCTGCCAAAAACTGTACTGTACTATTTCTATTGTAAAATACTAAGCTGTTCATCAAGTTCCGTGAACAAAAATATAAAAATAGATATATGGTTGTACAAATGAATTTTTTTCAATATAATTTCTCTCAATTTCAATATACTTAATTTACAGATCGTTCAATTTACTGGTCTTTTCTCTGTAAGTCCGGTAAATCCGGTTAATGGATACTTCTCTACGATAGTTGTAACTCCGTTTAATATAAAACCGTTTTCAGTAGTATATTTTTTTTAGGAATGAAAGGAGTCAGAAGTCGGGAGGGCAGAATGTGGCAATCAGGCTGACTGATTTTATTTATACCAGTAGTGGTCGTTTCGCTAATATAAAAATAGAGGTTACACATTCTTGGTCGATTCTTGTCCTCAAAGGGCCGGTTTCACGTCACTCCTTAACCTTTGCTGTTGTCTTGATTTAAGTACATGGTGGTAAATACAAATCTTGTCTCTGTAGATGAAACGACATATAAAATTCGATTTATCTTTTATAAGAACCTTCAGTCTTTTCTGAAAACGTCGCTTTAGAATTTATTTTCATTTTATTGCACACACAGCTCTTCACACATATTGGTCACTATTTCTAATAAAATGTCTATGTCTTCTTGTAAATCACATCAAAATCTTTGTAATACAATTTCTCTGATGTAGAAACACTGCTTGGATGTCCTTAACGTGAATCGTCTAAATGCAACTTTCAAAGTGTGTCTGATATAACATTTCATAATTGAAAGATAACGTCCCTCAGAAAATATGATGCAGCAACTACACCTTTTTTGGTTTTCATGTGGGAAAATAGTTTCTTGGTCCATTTTCCTGTCATTCTGGCTACCCTCTTGGATGCAAATTTCAGTTTGATAATGACGAATATATCATGTTTCGCAAACTTATTAAACAACCCTGTACACAGCTTTCTTATTAAGATATAATATGAAGTAGTGTTATGAATACAGTTTAAAATTCGTTTGTCAATAAATTATTATTCAATTTTTGAAATTTGATTAAGTTTAATTTGTTTGTTTAAAAAAAAATATTTTTTTCTTGTGAAGCAGTGTAATTATTATCATTTAACTATATGTTAACAATTTAGAGTATATATAGTATATTTTATTAAAATTATTGCCGAGAAGATTTACTAATATGAATGAACTTGTTCCAACAGAGTTACACAAAAAATGTACGTCGTGAATTCATCGAAATAAATGAAATTATAAATGCGTGTACTGAAGTGTCAGTTCGACCAAATTTCATCTTGAGATGTTTCAATCTTTCAGCAAAAGACAACACGTAAGACGTTTACTTGATCAGATAACGTCTCAAATGCGTAAAGCTTTCATATTGAATCTCCAACAGACGGATAACAAAATAATACTGGAGATGAGCAAATATTTTCAATATTATGAATACTACATTTGATGAATCGATATCCTGGATTAAAAATATATTCCATAACAGTTTGGAATGAATGTGAGCAGAAGTTAGGAAGTTTTGATTATATAAATAGTAAGTATATTATTTTCACTATAATATAAGATAATGAATTTGAAAATGATAGTGAAGGTGGATTTGGATTATAAAGACAGTTTGCAAACGATAAAATAAGTAATCTAGTAAGTAGGGCAACAAATTAATTATTGAATTGTTTAGAATACGACGTTACGGCGTTCGCCAAAACTTACTCAGGTTTAAGATCGTTTCAGACCTTTGTTAAAATCTAAATACTTTCAGAATAGTTGTTATAGCTAACTTAGATCTTCTAGAAGGTTACTCTTTACTGACTTATTGATATTTTAACTTCAGAATATATACTTATATATTGTTTTTATTTTGAATTTTTTTTAAAAATAAGCTTTTAAAAACTCCTTATTTTAGGTTATGTTTAAGGATGAAGCTGAGTCATGTTGCATTTGTATCCTCTGATATTATATTTCAGCTTCATAGGGTTTTAAGAATTCCGCTCTCCTAGTAATTTAGCTCTTCTATGTACAGATGGTTTTCATGAACGTATATTCCTTATTTAAAAGGAAATTAAACTATATTTATCGACCTGTATTCTATATTGATTTTATTGTTGATTCATTAGCACATTATAGTGGACAATAGACAACTGGATATAATGTGATAAATAGAATGTGATATTATTAATTAATTTTTATTTTTTATTAGACCATGCTTCTGATGATGACTCTCAAAGAGAGTCGAAATATAGAATTATTTGATAACCAGCAATTAAGGATTTATTACTTTTTTTAATTTTTATTGAAATAAAAGTGACCTATAGCCAGCTAATAAATAAACAAAAAAATCATTTTAAATGGAAATTTTTAATAGTTGGAAAAGAGTTTCCGAAAAATATTAGTGCAACTCCTTCCTATGCATTATAGTTCAAAGCTTGACAATATTTCATCATCTTTTGTTTGTTAGGTGATGTTCGGTCGCAAAGCAGATACTGAGTAGGTCACAAATTATCAATATTTTCGTTTGATATATGCAATTATTTCAAAATTAATCAATGATTTCTCTTTCGATTTTAGGTTGTCAATGCTAACTTTCTTTTAAAAGCAGTACAAAATTTTAAACCACTATTTAAGTACAGAAAATTGAAATCATTTCAATACCAGTAATTTCCAGTAATATCAGTAATTTACAAGCATAAATACCGATGTAAGATGTCTAGAATCATCTACTCCTCCGGAGAGGAGTAAAAACAGATAAGCTAAAATATTTTTACTATTAACATTTTCTTAACAATATGTGCTAATCTAATTAAGACAAAAATCTTATTTAAACAATACAAATTGATTTTGTTGGCAAATAATACTACATTATAAAAGCTGTGTTAAAAGTTTTTACGATTACTGCGGTTTTGATAATTATTTGCAAAGAAAAGTGTTAAAGGATCATTGGATAAATATTGAAGCCTAATATGATTTTGGTTTAAATTAAATTTTAATGTACCTTAAACCAATATATATACTAATGAATTTGTCCTGAATAATTGAATAATAGTTGTCGAATTATACATTTTTTTTATTATCCAATATTTATCCAATTATCTTATATTTATACTTATATTTATATCTTATTATTGTGATACTAAATATTATATACTTGGTTTGTAAACATCTACATACACATATATTGAGCTAATTTTTCTTTAAATGCGCCTATAAATAATATTTATTTTTCTATTCCGTTTATAACTTAAAAGGTTTTCAGTGTAAAATTTTTTATTAGAACTTCAAAAAATCGTAATATTGACGAAAGGTCAATAATTATAAAATGTGAATTGTGAATTTACAAAATGATCGATTGATTAGTATTTTTGAGTTAAACAAATCTTTCTATGTTATCTGATTTCAGATCTATTATCTTTTTTAATATCAGTTTTGATTTGTTATTGAATTTAGAGTAATTTCAAAGTATTATTTATCTATAATATTTTTTTGGTGATAAATGAAATGCTTGGCAGTTGTGATAGCACAATTGTAGTACACCTATCCCCCGATTTACACGGTAGAAAATGTATAATTTTGCTATTTAACAGTTGTGATTTTTTTCAATATTTTTAAGTGTACACAGAAATAAAAATAAAATGCATTGACAGGTTAAAATATGTAATATATTACGGAAACACTGTTTTTTTAATTACAATACATTAAATAGAAGAACAAAAAATAAAACCAAAGGTATTTTATTATCTTTCATCACTATCAGAAATTACTCTCGTTCTTTTTTTCGGAATCGAAGGTTGGAATTCACTCGAAGTTATTTATGCCGATTCGATGTTTGAAGCAGAAATATTTACATTCTGAGAGGTGGTAATAAAATCGGTTATTAATAATTGCTTCGAATTTTTTGTAAGATCTTTGTAAACTTCTTCATATTGAGCCAAGCAGCGATTTATGTCACTTTGGAATCGTAAAGCCCTTTTAACGTTTGTGTCATTTTGTATAGAATGATTACCCAGCTTTCTTCCCAATGCGAGTCCTTCGCGGATGACTTTAGCAGTGAATGTTACCGGTACTAATTCCTCTTCATCAGATTTGTCAGACTCACTTTTGCAAACTAAGTTAACTAAATAATCCTCACTTAGTTCTTTATCAGCCATTAACTCTGCGATATCATCATCAGTAAAATCATCAAAACCTTCTCCGCCCAATGAATGCGCCATCTGTACTATCTGCGAATATTCATCATTTAACGTTGAAATGGAATGTTCATTTTTGACTACATTTGGCCACAATTTTTTCCAACAGCTATTGAGCGTTGTTTGCTTAATCGCAGTGTATGATAAGGCGAAATGCTCACGCAGTCTAATATTGTAAAATTTTTTCAAGCACTAATAACTGTTAAAGATTCATTGTTCTCCATTTGTTCCAAAATATATGTAAAGGCTCGTTTTATGTACAAAGCTTTAAAAGTAGAAATTATGCCTTGGTCCAATGGTTGTAATAATGAAGTTGTATTTTTTGGTAAAAATTTTACTTCAACGTTCTCATATTCTAGATCTTGTGGGTGACCCGGCGCATTGTCAATTAACAAAAGCACTTTAAAAGGCAATCCCTTTGAAATTAAATATTTTTTGGCAACTGGAATAAAACATTCATGAAACCATTCAGTAAACATTGCAGCAGTAACCCACGCTTTCTTATTAGCCCTCCAATAAACGGGAAGATTATTGATGTTTACTCCTTTAAAGGCACGGGGCATTTTTGATTTGTTAATCACTAATGGTTTCATAATATAATCTCCTGAAGCATTGCTACAGAAAAGAATTGTTATGCGATCTTTTGGTGCTTTATGACCACTAGCCGATTTATAAAATTTTGAGACATAAGTCCTTTCAAGCATTTTTTTCCAGAATAACCCTGACTCATCAGCATTGAAAACCTGATCAGGCGTGTATGAATTGTCGTTAATAATTTCTGCAAAATTTGCTGGATATTCTTGGGCTGCATCTACGTCGCCAGAAGCCAGTTCACCTTTTAATTTTAAGCTGTGTAAAGAATGTCTTATTTTAAATCTTTCAAACCAGCCATGACTTGCCAAAAAATTTGGCTTCTTTTCAGTTGAAGAAGAAGATGGTAATTGCTCTACAATTTTTTCGTAAATTCGTAATGCTTTATTTGTTATAGCGGCCGTATCAATGGGTACTCTTTTTTGTGTTTGATCTTCTATCCAAAGCATTAACGCGTTCTCCATTTTTTCCATTGCGATATTTCTGGTGTATGATGTTGTGCCCATACTCGTGGTATTGCCAGCTGCAACACTCTTTCTAATTGTGTTTTCATTTGTTCTAATAGTTCTTATTGTAGCTTCGTTCATGCTATATGATTTTGCAACATCTACTACTCTATCTCCCTTTCGTAAGCGATCCAAAATTTCGATTTTAGTTTCTAAAGAAATAACTTTTCTTTTAACTTCTTTCGACATTATAAGCCTATAATTTTTTTTAATTTATATTAATTTATAACAATCTAAATTATGCACTAACTTGTAATTTACGAATATGGAAAATTAAATCTTTCTGAAACTGTGAAACTTTCATTCAAATTCAATTTTCCGTAGATAAAACTTTAATTTTATGCGAAGAAATACAGACACAGTGTGCATGTGCAGCAAGTCAGCACATAAGCTCGGGATTCCCCGTGAGATGTGTACACAGCGCACGTGTTCAAACACAGTAGCATTTAGTAGAGTGCGATAAAAACAAAAAAAAAACTTATTTGGAAAACCGTGTAAAAGCGAAAACGTGTAAAACAAGTACCGTGTAAATCGGGGGATAGGTGTACATATATTTATCTACCATGTAGCAAAAAATTAAAGTCCCTTTTTGTGCTTTTTCTGAAATATTCAGATTTTAGTGCTGCAATGTCTGCGCCAATTTGCTCACTATGGCTGATAATTATTGGATGTAAGCAAACATTATTGGTATAATGTGTGTGTTTCTTCTTTTGTTTTGTTTTGTTTTTGTAACGAGTAACAGTAAAAGTAATGCCAACGTAGTTGGCAAAAGGTAAAAGGGGTAAAAATGTGATTTCTAAAAGTTATCTGATAATAAGAAAATGTCATCTTTTTATAGGAACCTTATCAAACACTATTTTCATTTCACGTCAGACGCTGTAGGATATTATGTAAAACTCTGGGTTTGAAGAAAAATTTCAATTCTTAAAAAACGAAAATAAAAATCTTACTAGTACGGCAGATGAAGGCACAAATTTGGAAGAGATTCTGAAACATTTTTTTGGGTATTTTAAAATACGTTGGACAAAAGCTGACAGAGTAGGAGATCGCTTTCTCAAATTAACCGAAATTGGTTATATTCATCTATAGGATTTACTTCTTATAATAAATGTAAACGCGGTCGTAAAGAAACCACATTTGAAGAGTGTGATGTTTCCACTAGATACAAAAAAACCAAAATTCTACGAGAGAGTTATTCGCAGCCTATG